CAAGGGGAGATGAATGCATATTTTTGATACATTTATATAATAAAGAAGTCGCATTACATAGTTTTAATAGAATGAATAAAAGGCCGCACTAATAATAAATCTCGATCTATTCAAAAACCAACGGTTACCAGTAACTGTAATAGATATCATAAATTTAGCATAAAAACTTTGTCGATAATTGTGTGAAAAATGCCTCATACAGATCCACTTCAGCAATTTATACAAGAATGGACTACGTTTATCTATTTTTTCTTCTTAACTTTGCTGGATTGCTGGTAGTCTGAGAGTTAAATCATTTTGGTAAAAATTGGAACAATAGTTGAAACTCTCTAAATCTCTCTAAAATTTAAAAAAAAATCCTTTTAAATATTAAACATTACAAAAATATTTATTCCGAGAATTTACTAACTTAAAATTTAACTAATAAACACAAAATATATCTAAATAACAAAAATCTATTTAATTTTGATCCAACACATGTGTTGTCTTTACTCCGCCATTTTCAAAAACACTTTTAGCAAGAACCGCCATTTCTTTGTACAAATTTAAGCGTTCACCTGAAGTGGCGTGTTTAAGGTTCAGTTTACATCTTTCGGAAGCCTAAAATAGATGGCATTGGAGAAAATAAGTGTGAAAATAATAGATAATTAGTCAACAAATAAATGAGTTAGTTATAAATAAATATATCTAAGTTTGTATCAAAAATTAAATAAGTTCCGAACGAAGCTCGAGAAATTTCCCAAATATATTGAAATAGCCGATTAATCAACCCCATCAATGTTGAGGTTAGGATGGCTCTTGAATGTTAAAATTTCGAATATTAAAATTTGACTGAATGCAATCTAAATAACAATCTAGAGCATCTTGCTTATATAACCGACTAAAAGTGGTGCCATATTCCATTTCCATGATTTCAAATATACACGATGTACGATGAATACGATATAATAATGCATAACCCAAGTTAATGGATTCTTTACTTTATATTACAAACAAACATCGTGAGCCAACTAAGATGGGTCTTAAAAAATCCAATGTAAACTTTTTTTCTATTACCAGCTTCCTTGTAATGTTCAGCATCTTAGTTAGACCAATAGGTAAGCTAAAAGCAACTGCGAATAATATTAACTAAAATTTTTCCATTGATCTGCGCGAAGATGTTTTTACGAAACCCGCCCAGGCGTTAAGGAAAAAACCTCCGCTTAATAAGCAGCTACAGACTATAAGTAGCGCTTAATTTTAAACTGGTTCAATTGAATGTTTTCATTTTTTATGGTTAACTTGAACTAAATCTAAACCTTTCTTAAACAAGAAATATCTTCGATACTTCCATATACTTTATTTATTCCACATACCTGAGAGCACCAGGCTTTAGTTAAGTTCAACTCATGTTCAGCGGTAGGTATATTTTTATGTACTGCTCTGCTAGCACGTGATAAAGTTACTACCATTGCATAAATGTCAATGGCAGAGTCGGCCAGGCGATTTAAAATACATTGCTCGCCAATGATACTTTTTCCATACTTAATTAGAAGGCTTTCAACAGTTTTACCAAACAAGTCAATGCATTCGCCTGCACGTTTCCCATGTAATTGCAGTTCTGAGGCTACATATGGACTGAGATCAGTTCCTCCAATACCCACTGACGAAGCGGCTCGACGTGAGGCTTCTTTAAATATAAGACCCAAGTTAGCTGTTGGATGTTTGAAAGCGTTTTGCAACTCCTTTAGGTGAGAGCCAGCATACTGAATTCCAGTAAGCGCAACAAATAATCTTAAAATATCATTTGTACCCTCAAAAATTCGAAAGATTCTTAAATCTCTCATCACACGTTCTAATCCGGTATCTTTCATAAAACCCATGCCTCCTAGAATTTGTATAGATTCATCGCAAACATGCCACGCTGATTCCGAAGCAAAGATTTTGGATATAGCTGCTTCCAAATGATAATCTTGACTTCCTGCATCCATATTTTGTGATATACTAAATGCCATTGACTCGGTGGCGTATTGAAGCATACTCATTTGTGCAATTTTTTCCTGTATGCCCATATATTCGTTTAGCTTTTTACCAAACTGTAACCTGTTGTTTGCGTGATCGACTGCTTTACTTATACAATGTTTCATTGTTCCTGCCAGCGTCGCGCCCATACCAAATCTTCCGTTATTCAATATATTCATAGCAACTTTAAAGCCGTCGCCTTCTTCACCCAACACATTTTCAGTAGGAACTTTCACATCTTCAAAATAAACTTCAGCAGTATTGGATGCTTTTATACCCATCTTTTTCTCGGGTGGCCCATTCGTGACGCCGCCAAACGACCTTTCAACGATAAAGGCTGTGACCTGAAAGGAAAAATCTTATTCAAATTGCGCCAATTATCGTTACAATCGAAGATCCTTCGAATTGGTTGGGTATGCTTCAAGCCTTTTTATGATTTTACGCTATACGTAGTTCTACATTAATACTAAGTTAGTTACCTTTTCTTTCTTTTCTCCAGTTTCTTTGTCCTGTATTTCGGTTTGGGCAAACACCGTCATAATATCCGCGATTCCACCATTTGAAATCCAAATTTTTGATCCATTTAGTACGTAATGCTTTCCATCAGAACTTTTAACTGCTTTACATTTTATAGAGCCAGCATCAGATCCAGCACTAGGTTCTGTTAAAGCAAAGGCTGCATATACCTTCTCTGTCGAAACGGCGGGCAAATACTTGGCTTTCTGTTCGGGATTTCCATATAGTAAAATTCCTTTAAAACCGATACTCTGATGTGCGCCAATAGTAATTCCTAATCCTAAGTCATTAGCTCCAACTATTTGGCAAAGTCTGCCATATTGCGTATTGTTGAGGCCAAGACCACCGTAATCGCTTGGTACCTGGATACAGAAAGCACCCAATTCCCATAATTGATTTAAAGTGGCATCATCAATTTTCGCATTTTCATCATTTTTTGCCGCGTCATTAACTTCCTGAAATAATTCCAAATAAGAATTTTGCGTATGAAAATAGCATTCTTAGCATAAACATTCATCACAAAATGATGCATACGTAAAATAAGAAATAATTCAGCAAATACATTTTCTTTATACCCGAAATATCCTACTCCCGTAGACTTTATCCTAAAAAATTTCATTCGGTCTTGACCAACAGTTTCAGAATATTTCATACTTAGAGTATTACTACACAGATGATAAAGACTGCAAATAACTTACCAAAAAGAATTTTTCAAATGGTGGTATAAAACTATTTACGAGTTCCTTTTCATCACTCGTAAGAACGTCCGGATAGGGGAACACTTGTGACGAAATTAAACTTCCACGAAATATGTTAGCCATAAAGGATTGGTTTGCTTTCTGCGAGGACTTCTCAAATTTTGGTTCTGCCTTCGGTACAGCTGCTGCATAATGTCTACATTTTATAAAATTGAAGTCATGAAAAGTTATCACAATGGTAGATTTTAGCTAACAGTACAAATCACAATTGTTCGAAATTGAAATCTCTGATCAATTATAAGCTGCGGCGTGGACATGAAGAGGCTACTTAGAATAATGATGCCAGTAATAGATAATAGATAACTCTATGTTCAAATGCTTTTATTTCTACTTTTCGATCAACATCATCAGACAATCACTAGCATACAAGAATTAAAATAACGCAACACTAAAATTCATAAATTTACAAACTAATTATTGTATTGTTTGCGTATATTACTTTAAATCCTTCCACTATTTCTTCATTTATTTTCATTCGCCCAAAAAAATCTTTATAGCGGTTTATACGCTGCATTATATTTGAACACAATAAGACTTCCATTTGATTAGTGGCGAAAATTATATTTAATGGTCCAGTTGCCGGGTTTAATTGGTTTTATCAGAAATTGTAATATGGAAGCCAACAAACCGACTTAGCATAATACAACAAGCAACAAAATCGGATGCGGTTGTGACTAATTTTTTTATACTGTCGTCCTAAAATGAGACTAAGAAAAAGGAAAACTAAATTGCTTGTGCGCGGTTGATTTCTTTCATTTTCAAAAATAAATAGAAATTTATATGGTGTATATGTTGATGTTCATAGTTTGTGTTGTACAGGAGTGCGGACGTTGTATGCGTATCCTTTGACCAGTTTGGGTCATTGGGCCAGAAGGACATGCCTAGGCGCATTCAAAATTTGAACCTTGTTTCTACGCGTTATGAAGGTATCGAAAAAGATTATATTTGGGTACACTGTAATATTGGGTAAACGCGGTCAATTTTTCCCTCCTTTTATACAAGCATTACAGTATCGTCCGCACAACATATGTTCAGGTTTTTGCAGAGTTATCTGCTGTTGGGTATGAGTAATGAGCAAGAAACCAATTTTTTATTCAGTTTGATAAACAGGGGTGTCCTCAATTTACATGGCACCGTATGCGTGTCCTTCGACAGATTTCTTGCAGTGTCTTGCCATATTTGAAATCAAGAGCTTCATGTTTGCAGCCAAGATAATGTGCGACACACATTGCACGAGCGAAAATGCGGACCTATTTAAACCGATTCAGAATTTGATACTGATCAAGAATATATGTTTTTTAATGAGTCTCCGAAGCTTTTTTCTGGGCGTTACAAACGTTTTGTTAAAATGATTAAACGTCTCATTCTTCGATCATAGCTGTAAAAATATATACCAATGGATGCTTATCCCTTTTATATTTGAAATGATGTTCAAGACATGAGAAGAAAGTAACCATCATTACTAAAATCTCATATTTTATTTGTTTTGCTGATAACTGGCAGATCAAAGATTGTGATTCTAAATATTATAAGTCGGCCTCTCTACACATGCACAGAACTGTGCACTTAATCAAATAGGAAAACGGGTTCAAAGTCCAATGTGAATGAACAATGTTCTCATAGTATACAAGATTATAGATGCGCCTAGGCGAAAAATATTTTCTTTAACTGTGACAATTGCTAGAAATATTCTACCGAAAGAAATTCTTATTACTACTACCTTATTAAACAACTTGCAGATTTATAACTGGATAATATTTTACGATTTGAACCCAACATTATAGACACTTTTGTTGTGAAAAAGAAACTGAAGTATTTTAGTTGTTAATGATTTACGTCTTAATATTTTCTTTGCTGTTTAGTCAACTAAATATGATTTAACAGTAGCATTTAATAATCGCACAAGTGAAAATGCAAAGTTGCCATATTAAAAAATATGAATATTTGAAGAGGCATGTATTAAGGGATTGATACAACAGCTGTAAACACAAAGAATGAAAAATTTTTGAAAAAAACTTAAAGGGAGAAGCATCGAAATGAACTTAACTGACGCGGTAGAAAAAGCAAAAGAATTGCTTAAATGTTTTAATTAGCAAACATATTTAAAATTAGGAATAATTCGCCTTGTTTTTCGTTTCTTATAAAGTAATACGGGGAACAAAGTAAAAGTTGATATCGTATAATATAAAAAAGGTTTAAATTAGTACGAACTAAATATAAATTAGAATAAATAAAATAAATTCTTTATTTCTTCTTGTGCGTTTTTTTTTAATATGTGTTATTTGCATACGCCATATGATCTGCCAATTCCCAAAAGGTCAGCCAGATATTGTGTTAAGCACTATGCTTATTTTCGGTATGGGGCTTCAACTTCTCCGATTTTTTACCTAATTTATGTTTATTTTGTATTAATTTAACTTTTCTTTATGATATTCGATTTGCAATCATTTATATATTATAATTATTTTTACATAATTATTTATATATTATTTTATAAGACATAAAAAGCAACCAATAAATGCAATTTATTTTAATTTTAAAGTGTGGTTTTCAAATGAAAACATTTAAGCAAGTCTTTTGCTGTATTTAAATGCGTCAGTGAACTCCATTTCTAAGCTTCTTCTTTTAAACTCATTTTGTTGATTCTTTGCTTCAACAATCAATCAGAAAAATTGGAAATAAATGCACTTTATAAATGTTTATCATTCGCATTTCATTCACACTTGATACAACACGTCATCTCTGCAAACGGCAGCTGGATAATTTTAGTGTTTACCGGTGTTAGTGAAAAAAAGGAAAAAAAAAAAGAGAATTTAAATATTTGAAAAAAGGAAAAGAGGTTTAATAAAGTAATAAAATAACCAAAGAAAGGTAGAAAAGAAGGGAAGGAAGAGAAATCTCTCGTGAGAGAAAAATTAAGAAGCAATACATATATTCAATTTTTTGTTTTTTCGTTGTGATTTTTTCTTTTTTTTTGTGTTCCCCGTGATAACAACCAAAACAACATCAGCCCGTCTCCCTATGGAGACTGGGTCTGATCTTATAACTACTGATAGAGACTGTTTTGAAGATTTTTACATGAACGCCATTGGGCACACCAAGAGATCGAGAATGGGTGAGAATAATATTCTTTTATCTGCTAACGGAGAAGCTAATGCAAACGTTTTAATTGCGCCTAGTAAGCAGGCTATCGACAAGCCCTCTGATTTGGGTGCCACAGCCGCCCCAAATCTCGAGATCAATTTATACGATTGCCTTTCGAACTGCAATTTCGTTGTTTTTGTCGAAACGTGCGCAGACGCAGAAGGAAATCGCATCAATATTAATTCCAATCTCTATTTTTATGATTACTTGAAGGATTTCAATAGGTACGGCTTAAAAGAATTAAAAGTTGTCAGCAGGGGCAAAGCCAAACTGCTTTTCATCTCTGCTGCCAATGTCAACTATTTTGTTACGAATAATGAATTTACTAGAAAGAATTTGAAGGCGTACATACCGAGGTCTTTCACTGAGAGATTTGGAGTCATTCGAAACATCCCATGCACATATAGTGTCGATGATATAATTAAAAAAGCCCTATCCGATATTCCGATTAAGTCCGCTGTCCATTTTCAAAGAAGAAATCCCAACAACAAAGACGAGTGGATTCCCACAACCAGCATCAAAGTTGGGTTCAAAGGGAGAGCGCTCCCTAAGTCAATAAAATTTAATTATTGTTACCTGTCGGTTGAGTACTTTGTACCCACTTTAAAGTAGCGCTTTAAGTGCGGTAGATACGGGCACGTGTCAAAATTCTGCAAAGCCAAAGAGAGCAGATGCCTTAACTGTAGGAAGTCTCCGAAGTGTGTGAACTGCCAGACGATGAAGTGCTTGTCCTGCGTTTCAGGTGAGCACAACACTCTCAATAAGTGTTGCCCTAACAGGAAGCTTGAATCAAATATCAACAGGATAATGGCGATTAAAAATCTTTCGTATAAAGAGGTCAAAGAGAATTTTTCCGCAAATTATTTCGAATGTCTCGATGACATCACTTATGACGACAATTTCCCTCCACTGGGAAACACGCCTGCAATTTCGACCAAGGATGATAATCAAAATGCCAACAAAATTTTAACCAAAAATAAATATAATGCTGTCGTCAAAAGGAAATCGTTTCCTTCCAAATCTCCTCTCAGTTCAACCACCAAGCCTTCTCTCAATTCACCCCCCAAGCCGTCTGGAATAAGTCTTCAGCGTCCAGTAATTTCAAACAACTTTTTGCGTTCCTCAGAACTTGAAAGATTAATCGCTGCGATTAAAGAAAGTATCCGTCCGATGATCCCTCGTAATCTTATTAAAGAATTTGAAGAGAAAATGTCTGTCTGTGCCAATTCTCGCCCCGTTAAAGCGCCCAGCGCTATGAGAAAATGCTCCGGGGTTCTTTCTCAAGTTTATATATGATGCCCATTTTGCAATATAATATCTAAAGTGTTCGACGTAACGTGTCGTTTTTGCACTTTTGCTTGAACTCAAATAAGGTTGATTTCTGCATATTAAGTGAAGTTTTTCTGAAAGATGAAAATTGTTGTGAAGTTAAAGTTTCGAATAATGCTTCAGCCACCAAATGTCGAAGTGATGGCTATGGTGGTGTTAGAATGTTAGTTAAAAAAGGTGTCAATTTCACACGTATTCCCAATAACTCTGCCGTTGACATTATTATCATCAAAACCATGAACCTTAAACTGAATCTTTTCATAGCATCATGCTATTTTCCACCCAGTCTCGATGTACAAACTTTTCGTGATGAGATTCCGAGATTATGTGGCTTTCTTGACGGTGAACAAAATGTGATTCTAGCTGGAGATTTCAATGCAAGACACCGCCTGTATGGCGATCAAGTCTCTACCAACAAAGGCAAAATCCTTGTAAATGCCATCAATTCCAGCAGTTTCAGTGTCTTAAATAACGGCAATACTACCTTTCACTGTAACCGGAGCGGTCGCACGGTGAACAGTGTCTTGGATCTAACTTTCTCGAACTCAACTATTTTGTCTTTCAACTGGGACACATCCAACGTTTTCATTGGCAAAAGTCAGCTCTCTCCCATTTTATTCCACAGTTGCCACAATTCCGTTAAGAAAATAGAAAACTTAATTTCACGCAACTTGTTTATGGACGGCCTTTTTAAAGCTGATCTTCCTTCCGATTTATCATCAATTCAAAGTGCCTTTCGGTCTGTGATTAGGTCTGCTAGAATCGACTTTCCTGATATTGAGTCCTTCACACCTAAACCTTGGTGGAACTCTTCCCTGCCAACACTTTTTCGCAAATACCAAGCCGCAAGGGAAAAAATGAGTAAATATGCCAATCCAGCCAACTACATGGAATATATGAAAACACTGAAAGAATGGAGGTCTGCAGTTAGAAAGGCGAAAAGGACAAATAGAGCCATCGCGATTAAAGATTTATGTGGTAACGGCAACCCACGTTCCTTCTGGAATTATATCAATGGTCGTCGACATTCTAGTCGAAAATTAAGCGGTTGTGCTGTATAAAATGACCGTGATAATAAAAAAATACTTAGATTTGCTCAAGAGCTACACTCCAGTTGTCAATCCGATTACAATGCCTTCAATTCCTTTTATTAGTCTCAGTAACACACCCTTTTCATTGCATGATCTAATGTATGTTTTACATTCCAGAAAGAGAGCAACTGCTGCAGGTTGTGATGGTGTCAAGTATGACATGCTCAGAGCACTGTCTGGAGGAAGCTTTAGCATTCTTTTGCATGCAATTAACAACTGCTGGTCCACCAACTTTATACCCTCTGATTTGCGTTGCATCAAAATAGTTCCCATTCCCAAGCCAGGTAAAGACTCAAATGATTTAAGTAGCTTCAGACCAATTTCACTGATATCTGTATTCATAAAGACTATCAAGGGCAATCTAGGGCAATCTCCTCGTTTAAATTACTAGTTCCGACAGAAAACAGCGATATGTTGTTAAACAAACCTTTGTGGCCAGTAGGATCCTTAATTAAAGAATTTATCCCTCGAGATCGTCCCCGTAATACCAAAGCAATAGTCTTGGGGCCTTCAAAAAACTAAATGTTTCTTCAGACTCATTACCTCTCATTTATCAAAATGTTAGGAGCCTAAACTCAAAAATTCGTTCTAGTTTTCTAAATTCAGTGAGCACGGAGTTTTTCTGTTTGGCCTTCACCGAAACTTGGCTAAAACCCGATCTTCATTCGTCGGAACTTTTCCATAACTCTTTCCAAGTCTTTAGAAAGGATCGAGTGAATCGCATTGGTTGTGGTGTATTAATTGCCGTATCTGCGTCAATCCCGTTCAATTCAATAGAATTTCCCACTTCTCCTGACATTGAATTTATCGCCATTCGTGCGATAATGCCTAATAAACAGCTATTTGTAACCTGCTCCTATATTCCCCCAAATTCCGATATCTACATTTACAAGAAATACGCTGCCCCCATTTGTGAACTGGCCAAGCGGTCTAGACTTGACGATTTGATCGTTGCATTCGGTGACTTCAACTTGCCTCAAGTCACTTGGTGTAACAGTGATAATTCTGGCTGTTTGATTTCTACTTCAACGTCTGATATGGCTGTTGTGTTCTTTAATGAATTGCTTGATCATAATTTGGTTCAATATAATCGTACCCCTAATTGATCTCTGCTTTGCCAACTTTCCTGAGATTAACGTAAATCGTTGCCCATCTTTTAGTTTACCTCAGGACCCTTATCATCCATCAATGTGCATTTCCTTTCATCATATGAATGTTGGTTCGTTGAACTGCCTTAATGAGCCTAATCAAACTTTTTCAAATAATTATTATGATTTTCATAAAATCAATATTGCATTGCTAAAACATCGTCTTTCGCATTTGCGGCTTGATTTCTCACCCGGTAGTATTCAAAGCTTATTGTCATCGTTCTACAATACATTAAATCTGGCTATTTCTGTATCTGTTCCGACCAAGCAGTGCAGGTGTCCCCCGTGGTTTAATAAGACAATTAAATATCACAAGAATAGAAAAAACTCGCTATTCAAAAAATATTCGAAAAGTGGCTCTGCGCTCGACTATTCCGCTTACTCGGTGGCGAGGCATAGATTTAATTCCCTCAACCACCATTATTACTGCAGATATCTTCAGTTCATTAAAATCTCTCTGTTTGCTAATCCTAAATACTTTTTTCAATTTGTTAACTCTAGAAGAAAAATATCCGCATATCACTCTTATGTTTCTTTTAATGGCTCTAATTCCTCAGATGATTTTGAAATCTCAAATCTGTTTGCTGAGTATTTCCGACGAAACTTTTCGATTGCTAATTTCGATTTATCAACAAACTACCCATATCCTATAACTAACTCGGTTTCAATACCTAACTTGGTTATTTCGGAAGATGACGTTTTTAAAGAGTTTAGTTCTCTAAAATATAATTGTGCGCCTGGATCTGATGGCATTCCATCATGTGTACTTAAATCTTGCGCTGTCGAGTTGAGTGGTGTGATCTCAAAGATTTTTAACATGTCCTTGTATTGAGGTGTTTTCCCTTCATGTTGGAAGAGTAGTTTCCTTATTCCTATCCTCAAGAGTGGAAGTAGCCAATTTGTTGAGAACTACAGAGGCATAGCCAACTTGAGTGTCTTGCCCAAGTTGTTCGAGCGTATTGTGACTCAGCATTTGGCCTTTGCCATTAATTCGTATATTTCTCCGCACCAGCACGGCTTTCGGAAAGGGCGATCTACAGTCACCAACTTGTTAGAGTTTACCTGTCATGTTTTCAAGGCTTTTTCTAGTGGCTCTCGCACAGATGTTATTTACACTGATTTAAGCAAAGCATTTGATATGGTTAACCACAGACTACTTATCTTTAAACTCCAAGCCTCTGGTTTCCCACCCTACTTAGTGAAATGGATAAGCTCTTATCTGCACAATAGATCCTTCAGGGTTTTGTTTAACTCCATCACCTCGGATGAATTCCCCGTTACGTCTGGCGTACCTCAAGGAAGTCACTTAGGTCCCATTTTATTTAGTTTATACATTAACGATCTCCCATCGGTGGTTAATTCCAGCCAAATCTTAATGTATGCTGATGATGTGAAACTGTTTTCTTCCTTCTCTGTTGAATCGCAATCACATCAGCTTCAAGGTGACTTGGATAATTTTGTTGCATAGTGCTCTTTGAATCTTCTGAAACTAAATCTGAGTAAATGTAAGAAGCTTTCTTTCTCAAGAAGAAAGTCATTCATTACTCAGTATTTCATAGGTTCGTATAAGTTGGAGGACGTCGATTCGATCACAGATTTAGGCGTTCTATTTGCCCAAAGGTTACGTTTTAACTTGCACATTGAGCTCTCTATAAGCAAAGCTAAGTCCGCGCTTGGTTTTATAAAAAGTTGGTCCAAAGGGCTTGATGATCCCTACATTACGAAAAGGCTGTACATGTGTTTGGTTAGACCCACACTCGAATATGCCTCTGTTGTGTGGTCTCCTTCATATAGGTGCTACGTAGATTCAATTGAATCTGTTCAAAAGTAATTCTTGCTGTTTGCCCTTAGAAATTTGGGTTGGGATTCGTTTGCCTCTCTTTCTCCCTATGGAAATAGGTTGCTTCTGCTGTCCCTACCGTCTCTTGAGAAACGTAGGTAATAAATGGTGCTATTGACTCGCCTTCATTACTTGGTGAAATAAGCTTTAATGTCCCTAACCGCTTCTCTATGCACTTTATCTTTGTTAAGCTTAGTCAGTGTAAATATAATTATGAGCTGTTTAATCCGCTCAGAGTCGTTTGCAAGAACCTAAATAAAGTTTACCACTTATTCTCGTTATCGAACTCTTTAAAGTCCATTAAAGTAACATTGCTTAATACGCGCGATTTACCTATGTCGTACTTAAACTAGCTTTTATCCTTAAAAAGTCGTTACGATTCGAAAATGAATTATTGTTAATTATTATCGGTTGCCAGGCTTATGCATGTTTGCGATGGCTTAGGGGTTCATTTGGTCCTGTACCGGTTGTAAGTGTAGTTCTGACAGTCAACTTCTCTTGTATGAGGTTGTTGTGCCAAGAAAAGCTCCTCTTTTATTACAACAACGGCTACGATATATATGCCACCGACGGGTCCGTCGGACATAATGTATCTGGCTTCTCGGTCGTGAAACATCTATCTGAAATAGTACATCGAGTTAAATTGGAAGAGGAACTTTCCTCGACTTTTATTGAGTTGGTCGGCATTCCCAATGAATTAATTCGGGCAATTCGCAACCACATCCTTCAACAGCTAAACGACGAATTTTAAAAAATCGCGCGCGTTAAATCCAATCGCCTTTTCTATAAATTAAATTCCACATTTCAATTCAAACCCTTTTCTGGATCTTCTTTCAATTCCTGGGAAATCAAAATTCTTTATAAACTCATGAGTGGTCATACTTATGACAAAGTTTATTTAAAAATGATTCGCGCTATACCATGTGATGTTCGTGAAGTTTGCAATGTTGTTGAGTCTACTGAGCATCTAATCTTCAGATTCCTTTAGCTTCTTCAAGTTATATCGCTGTCTCCTCGATCTCTTTGTAGTAAAAATGTACGCCATCTCGGGGAACTAACTTGCTTTACTAGAAAAGCTAATTTATCCTTTTAGAATTTTTTTTTTCCTCTTCTTTCCTTTTTTTTCTTTCGTTTTTGCGTTCAATCATCTTCTATTACCATAGTATTCCTTTTCGTTTTCAGCCAAACTTTGCAACACCGTTTAACTTTCAAGAACTCAACAAGCACAATTACACACACATACACAATTACACTTAACATGCTGGCTCCAGCTATTACGGCCGCTCTTTTTTTTATTACGTTTTGTACATAATTGTGACCAAAAATTACGACAGTTTATTATCTGGACTTATAAGCCACAAATCTATTGGCTTAGTCCATCTCCATTCAACATACCGAAAAAAAAAAAAAATAAATGTTTATATATATTATATATATATATATTATTCATATATATTATTTTCAATAAGCGAAACTTCATTGTCTTTACAGGCATCGACGTTTTTTTCATTGACCAACTCATTTACAAAAATTTTTTTATTTATTGTCTTGCTCTGATTGTTGTGTCTGACTGTTACTATGCATTATAAACGTTTTGCCTGCTGTGAGTAGAATATTATTTCATTATTATTAATTTCAAAGTGATGTTTTCATAATACAACAAATCCTTTGCCATGGAATTAAAAGAATTTTTCGTTTTACACTTTTAATATAGTGCTTTGCTAAGAAATTTTTTCCAGCTTCAACGAACTTTCCTATAAACTCTACTTGCTTGTTTTCTCTGAGTAGTTCTAAACACGACATTTTTCAGTTGATTGGAAGATATTGTTCGTTTTAGTAAAACCCGCCTTCCATCAGCAATGTGAAATAATAAGGCAGCACTCTTTGCAATGCTGTTGGACGAAACAATTGCCTTCACATAAAACCCGGTGGATATGCGATAGTAAAAGCACTTTTAGTAAGGTCTAATTTTCAATCAATTTTAATGTAGACATTATCCAATATTTTTAAAAAATTCTCAATTCTCAACAATTTAGAGTTATCGGTATTATCGGTTAGTTAATTTTATTGTCTCTAATTCCTCAGCTATCGTCCGGCTATTTTAGTGTTTTTAATCTCGCAATGGTAAATCTTTTTTTATAGAAAATTATAGTTCTACGTTTTCCTCACTATTATTATTCTAACTTGATAAAAATTAAAAAATTTATGAAAACAAGGAACTTTCGTGCGGAATGTTCATAATAGTTATGGTTTGTGACGTTAAACTCTTTTACCGAAATAATTGCAGGTTTTTTTTGGCTTTGTCTATAAACATGGACGACAATTTTTAGCAATGGTGTGGAAAGTATTTTTGACGGCCACCAGAAGAACATTAATAATTATTTTGTTCATATAGAATATACGAAGAAAACGGTTGTTTAAAATTTATTTCTTGTGCTATTATTTGTCTTGAAATGCCTTTCAAACACCATTTCCTGTTTAGGTCGACTGAGAGCATCTAGGGATAAAAATTGACTTTTCATACTGAATGACTAAAGTTTCGAAACATTTTTTGGCTCCACTCCAAAGAAGCTATCTGAGAGTAACGATTTATAAATTTTCACATTGATGTCAATGCACTTTACATCCAAAAATTTTTGTTTAAATGGTTTTGTAATACACATCTTAAGTTATCGGAGAATGCCCGCATTTATTAATTACACATGTCTCGGGAAGATTGTGAACAAAAGGAAGCTTTTTTACATGAAAGAGAAGTGTTTGAAAATTTTGCCGGAATAATTTAATGTGAAATATTTCATTAATAAATATTAACATGTTAATATTTCTCGTATTTCAGACGGAACGCCCAAAATCCAAATTTCTACAGTTCTTGCTCGCGAAGGATGAAATCATTACAACAAAATTTGTTACATTTTTGTTAAACTACGAACCGTTTAGAGCAATAAAAGCTCACACTAAAGCCCTGGAATTATCATGCGACGGTATAGTATGGTTGACAGCATGGCCAGCTTTTATTTGGTTTGCAAGCAACAAAACGCTTTATCAGATGCAAATTAACTTATTATTTGGTTTAATATTGGACATAGTGATCACCGCGCTTATAAAGGCCGCAGTTAGAAGAAGGCGGCCTTCATCCACCAAAAACTTGTTATCAACTATAGGTCCAGATAAGTTCAGCTTTCCATCTGGGCATGCGTCAAGATCTGCTTTCATTATGGTGTTTTTTATAATGATATATCCGTTGTATCCTATATTTTGGGCGCCTTTAATGGCATGGTGCTTTTGCGTTTGCCTCTCTCGTGTCCTCGCGAAGCGACACTTCATTCTAGATAGCATATGTGGATTTTTAATTGGTTTGGCGCAAGCGTTCACTATAAGCATGCTGTATATTAGCGAACAAAATGCAATAGCTATGGTTAGCAATTTGTCAAGTGACCATTTACCAGGCGGAAGCGAATAGCTAACCAAAGTTTGAAAGATATTTATTTATGTATATAACGTCCCTAAAATATGTTTGCAAACTTCATAAGTTCTAAAATAAAAACAAAAGGCATATGAACTCTTCTCTTTTAATCAGACAAACAATGGACGGTAATGATTAAAAAAGAACGTGAATTGAATTGAACCTGTATATCGATTGCAAATACATGTATATATGTGTACGTGCAATTAGAAATTTCTACAACCATCCAATTCTGATTACCTCCTTCCGTCAATAATTTTCAGCGATCTCCTTAGTTGTAATTCTTGGATTTTCTTCCATTAACTACATTAATGTCAGAAGCTCGTCACTAACGAGGTTAGTCTTGGAAATTCAAGCCTCCATTTGTAAATCATTCAAACTACTACGGAGAGCTTTCATTGAAACATGAAAGTTGATTTTTAGTGCATTCTCAATGCTCAGGATTACGGAAATTCATATAGCATTCTTCCACCTTTATTTTCTAAAAATTTCGCAAGACATAAATCAACTTATTTGAATGATGTAAGAACTAAACCCTCACTATAAAATATATATTTTAGATGAAAGTGAGGAGGCAGCGGCCAATCCTAAACGACGTTTAGATGGGGTTAATATCGACGAAGGACGTGTTTCTGAAAACGAATGTGAACTATGAGTCCAATAAAATTAATGAAAGTAGGTTTAAATGTAGTCGTTGGCAATGAATTAACATCCGGCGTGACAGATGGATTAAATCTTCCAAGCGTGCAAAATATTGGGAAAATATACTGAAGTTTAACCAGCACGATGTACTGTTTTAACGCCATTTTTGAAAATTCGTCCACGAAATTCTTATAAGCACATAGATAACATCTAAATTATTCGCTACATGAGCTAGGTTTTCTCGTTAATTGAGATATAATATTAAAAGGTTTCGACGCATGCTTGCAGATGTTGAATTAGGAATGACCTCATAGTAAACATAGAAGCGATTGTTTCAAATCATTCAATAGAGAAGAGAAGAACGACACGGGAAATATTTTATTTTCTTTACAGGGATATGGCTCACTGTTCGGCGTCTGCATTCTTCTTGGTTTTCCTTCTTTGAAATATGTAGAATTAAATACTTAAACTCCTTTTCAATTTCATGGAACTTTGGCAACTTCGCCAAATAGAGACAAGAATAGCAACCATATGTTTTTTGTTTGTTTATGAATTTTTTCGTAATCAAATGTGCAATGTTGCTTGACTACTCAACTATTAATTCGCAATTAATATTGGTGAGCAAGTTAAGAGGGCGCGAAATTGTTTCATCGTAAAATTGTTAATCCCTTCGATTTTGAATTATGTTTACGAAAACGAAGTTGGCCACTGCTAATATGGACACTTTTCTATTAGTTTGCTTCAGCATAGCTATCCGCGCAGCAGTCTCCTTACATTCTTATTCGGGAGCAAACAAGCCTCCCATGTACGGCGACTATGAAGCTCAAAGACATTGGCAGGAAATAACGTACAACTTTTCCCCAAAAGGATGGTACAAAAATTCAAGCAACAACAATCTTGAATATTGGGGGCTTGATTACCCGCCGTTAACAGCATATCATAGTTACGTAAATGCGTACATCGCTTCGAAGATAAACTCCAGTTTCGTCGACTTGAAGACTTCTCACGGGTTCGAATCAGAAAGACATAAAACCTTTATGCGTTCAACAGTTTTAGCCGCTGATACGTTAATATATTTACCAGCGTGCATTTTAGTGGCGTCATTTATAGACAAAGTGTTCAAACAGAACATTTTCCTCCAATTGTGCGTTTTGTTTGTTACATACCCGGGCTTAATATTGATAGATAATGGACACTTTCAATATAACAACATATCTCTCGGCTTACTACTGCTAGCTGTGTATTTCATATTAACCGATTCCAACAATTTAGCGGCTTTATCCTTCTCTTTGGCCTTAAATTATAAGCAAATGGAATTATATCATGCCTTCCCGTTCTTTACATACCTTTTGCGAAGTTGTTTAGTTGAAAACTGGTGAGTAGCAAAAATGCATAAATTTATAGAAAATTTGAATACTAATCACGAGTGACGCCAAAATCGTCATTTCCATTTGACGCACATCTATTTGTCAAATGACTTGCGTAATCGATTCATTTCTTGATTTGGATTGAATATGTCATTAGCTGATTATAGCGAAACGGCATTTTAGGCATAAAAGCATTCATAAGAAGCCATCGGTAACTTACCTTCACACACTGCGTCCAGTCAATTTTATATGGGTCACGAATCTCAATGAATATTAAAAAATTTGTGCAAATTTCAGTGCTTCTTCTTCTTCAGACTTCGAGAGCACAATTACTTTGTTTTCTACGTGTTAACAAGTACTTGCGGGTAAGGCACAACTATAGCTATTTTTCATTAGTAGAGGGGTGTTGATAAATTTATTATTTAGCATGTTATAAGAAAACATTGCGAGCTTCAGTTTTGGAGATGTTCATGGTCGAGAAAAAATGGAAACACACATTCACTTATTTACTTTGAGAACATTAAAGAAACAGGATCTTTAAAAAAAGACTCGAGACTTTATAATTCAATTAACTCTGTATTTTCATAAAAAAATTTCAAGAGATGCCAGCGATAACTTCTTCCTCAATTAAAATAATGCACGAAAGTACAGCACGGTTAACATATCTATGATAAAAAAGAAGTGCCGAACTCCACAAAACAGCACATAATACTTTCTTATTTCCCCTTTTGTCGTATGTGTGAAGCAAGGACAAACTCATATTCTTTTACTAGTGCGACAACTTCAGGACACTTCTAACTTTTTTATGAAACTATGAATTCGTATAAATAACAAGGTTCATGAGCACCTTTAAGATTATAATGATTCGTATAAAATAATTTTTGATATCGTTTCAGCTTCAGCAGAAAGTTGATAAAATTTTTGAAAATTGCTTGTGTGGTAACGCTAACATTCCTTGCCTTATGGTTGCCTTGGTTGACTTCTTTGGACTCTTTAATTTCTACTGCAAGTCGACTGTTCCCTTTATCCCGAGGAGTTTTTGAAGACAAAGTAGCTAATATTTGGTGTTCACTTAATGTTATTTATAAATTTAAGTGAGTGTTCATAAATTTAGATAAAAACTTTTTTGAGTATTAAATACTCTAACAAATTACATAGTTAAGGAAAAATCTGCGATTTTCAGCCGTTGCATAAGTTGTCATAACGGAAGCAAAAGGAAAACAGGACCGAAAGACTTAAAACTTTTACACAGTAGAGAAATTTTTACGAAGAAACGGACTTTCTCGCTCAACTTACTTTCAGAAAACGCTTAACTGCGAAACCATTTAATTTTTTCTTGAATAAGAAGAAATTAAAGTAATAAACGAAACAAACTCATAAACTTCCTAATTTTAAACCCACAATCTAAGTACACAGACGTTATAATAATAATTGCAAACTTCTATATAAACTTATAAAATTATTATATCACCTTATAAAAGATTCTGTAAAAGTAATGTAATTCCAGGAAATTATAGGCGCATGTATAATATATAATGACAACCTACATATAATTTCTCTATTCCAAATGTCAAACCTAGTGGCACGCTCCGAAGTTCTTTGTAGGATCTAAATCCTCACAAGAGCAATTACAATGCACTTACTCTGTTAATCCGAAAGATAAAACATGTAACATGCCTTCTTGATTTGTTGGAAACATTGGCGCTTATACATACTTAAACAATTTGCCAAATAGAGGAAAAGAAAATTTTTGGATTACCACTAACGACGTCCTAGCATATACCAATTAAGTTTGCTTGTTTTGGTTTGATAATGGTTTCATTTCGAAATATGCGCTAGGTTCTCAATTCATTTGCGTCTGTCAATAATCAGATCAACCGGTCTGCATTTATTAAATAATTTACATTTTTGAAATAATGGATATCGCAGAACCCTTACTAACCCAATAAAGTTTTATATTCTAATATCTTTGAAATGATTTTTATTTTTGATTTTAGAAACAAATTTGTCAACACGCAAATGGCGTTAATTTGTTTGGTAACAACATTATCTGCAGCTTTACCAACAAACTTGAACTTGTTTGCTTGTGGAAAAAAGGAAACGTTCCTTTATACCTTACAAAACACTGCAACTGCGTTTTTCTTATTTTCATTCCAGGTAATTTATACGGATATATAAGAATAGAAAACCTATATCTGCCTTAGGAGGAACTTCACATATCGCTATAGTAGATTTCAAATACGCGAGGACTTGTATTATACTCATCACCGAGTCATTTTCTCAAAACATCTGCAAAGCGCACACAATATATATAGTCACAATATATATAGTCTTGACCAGTATAAAATTCTGAATCGATTTAAGCACATCGGTCTGACCGTCTTTGTGTAATGTCTGGTGTAAAAATTCTCCTGGCCGAAAAAATGAAACTGTCCAAGGACACGCCTACGGTACCATGCAAACTGAAAACATCTCTGTATATATCTCTATTTTGTATTAAAATGAATATAAATAAGTGATAAAGTGCAATTAAACTATTTCTTAATTAATGTTATATTCATTTGTTTATATATACGAATTTTTCGCTTGGTGATATACACTTTTAATGCACTTTTTACATACATTACTAGCAATAAGAATTAAAAAATGTATTATATTAATGCAAAAATAGTGGTCACTGCATCATAGTAGTATATAGTGTTTGGACAACTTACGAAATCCTGCTGTTTGCTCCATATTTTAGTTTAATCGGTCATTGATGAGAGAGAGACACATATAACAAATTGTCGCCTTTAAAATGAAAAATTTACTGCCAGTACGACATGGAGTTAAGATTATAAAAGCATTCAAATACGTTTTTGAAGGCATTTCGCTCATATGAAAATTTCGTAAAAGCATTGAAAAATTCTTTGTTTTAATTAATTAAGCTAATTATTCTGTTATAGCAAAAAAAATCTAAGCAAAACTTTAAGCAAATAAGTTTTCGGTTTAACAAACACATACCGGTCTAATCAATTTTTTTTCCATTTTTTTATTTGCAGGTACATGAAAAGTCTATTCTTTTAGTAGCTTTGCCATCGATATGTCTCTATGGATTTATGCCGTTTGCAGTTACTTGTTTTTTAAAAGTTTCCATTCTAAGCATTTTGCCGTTAATTATTAAAGATGGACTTACCATAGCGTACTTCTCTTTAGTAGTAGCATACAATGCAATATTGAACGCTTTCTTGGCTGAACAAGAAAGCGAAAGGCACATGTCAAACAATAGCTTACAGAGACTTAACAAAGTTTTGGACTTTCTAATATTAATCGCATCTCTAGCAGCTGTGTGGCTACCACCACCATCACATCTACCTCATCTGTGGGCAGTAATAATTTCTGTGATATGCTGTGGATTTTTTCTAATTTTCTTTATAATGGGCCATATAAACCAATTTAATTATTGGCCGAATATTGTTAAAATCATTCTAAATAAAAAAGTATGATATTATTAAAAAATTGTCCTTTTGCCATTGAAGAGAGCTTAAAATTAATTAGCGTGAGTGATAATAGGATTCTGGAGAAATTTGAAAATAAAATAATCAATCAAAAATTTCCTAAATTATTGTATCAACATAAAATAGATTTGCAGCGGTAGGGCAAGGAAGAGCAAGACCGAGAGACCACATTTAAAAGCAAAATAAAGACGTAATATTATTTTGTCTGAAAATACATAGAAAAAAATTTGAAAGAAAAAAAAAATTTTGTAAAGACAAATACTATTTTCGTACACAAAAAATTAGACATTAATAAATATTTTTGTATAGTGAACATAACGTGATAGTATTTGGTAAGATCTTGGTAACCAACGTTTCATAAGCATAATCGAAGAGGTAAGAACCGCGACAACAGAGTGAGCTCCGTGGGTTCAAGTCTCAATTGCTGTGCACTTTCTTTGGTCGTAGTTATAGGGAGTTCCGTCCACTCCGGCAACCACTTTCTTATTTCTTTCTCTCTTTGTTTTTTTTTCACTTCTTTCTGACCGTCGCCATATTACACATAAGGGGATAGCCCTTCAATGATTGTTCATATTAGAAAAAGCAACAAAAATTATTTGGATATCGTTCCATATCAATATTTGACACCTTTTTCATTAGTTTATTGTCTATTGTATGCGAGTTCCCACAGACTTTCACACGATCTCTAACGCAAGTTGTACGTTACCATAGCGAACTGGTGACGCCAACTTTCATGTACAGCAATCAACCATCATATGCGAGTGCGCTCGACAAATTTTACTTTCTTGTTGTAATCGTTGCAATGTGAGCATTCCACCAAAATAGTGAGACATTTGAAAAGCAAACAATTTTAAATAGATAGCTTACGTTGATCATAAAACATCTATGTTTTATGGAATATCTAACGTATATTTCTATTTATTTCATGAAATATCCTATGCGTATCCCCCTTGCGCCGGTAAAAACATTAGGCAGAGGTGGCTGACATTAATTTACATAAAACATAAATATAATTTAACAAAAGCAGCAGCTTTGACATCTAGAATCTCAAAATATTCCCAGCGATTTCCAGTCCGGCTTTAAAAGCCATAAATTGGCTCATGACTGTATCTTTCTACGGTCTAACCTACCAATGGTCAAATTTTGGTCGCCTGCTTCCTAAGTATCCCAACAGTTTCTGACTCCAAAATCTGTCCAACATCCTCTGCAGATTCTGCAATCTTGTATATGAACCTTTTCATTTAAGAACCTCTTACTTAACAACAACGACGTCAACAAGTCTAAAACGTTCTTGACGAGTACCGCTCAAGTTACTATATCAAGTTGCTGTCAAAATATCAAAAGAAAAGTCAATCTCTTTGTAGTGTGGTTGAGAAATCTGGCAGCGATACAAAGAACGAAATGAGGCATTTCTACGACTCAACATAAATGAGTTACTTTGATAAGGACTTTTATGTGACGTCACGCCATTGGTGATCCCGATAGGTTTAAATTAATTATAATTTGTTTTTGTAAATGCACCGGGGCTAGGCGCGAAGGTTCATCCGTCACTATCAGGCAAATGCATTTTAAGAAAAACAAGAAATACATTTAAAATGCGATCTTAAAGAAAATGAAAGCTACAATTTGCTGAGATGTTGTTGCAAGTCAGATGTTGAAATTTGACATAAATAACCGTTGTTTGGGCGGTCATACATTACTCATATAAAAATGAAGAAAATTGGCATTGCTTACCCATTAAATATCAAGGCTTTCCGAAGTTTTTGATCCGAACCTTTGTAAAGCCCAGAAGAAGGCTTCAGTGATCTGTTAAGTATATATATCCTTGACCAGTGTCATTTTCGGAATCCACTCAAAAATTAAACTATCGACTTCAAATTGGGGTTAAACTACAAAAATGGTCCACATCGGTCGGTGCAGCCTTAATTGAAGGTTGCTGCAATTTTTGCCCATTGCTCATAAAGCACAACAGACACAACAGAACATAGAGTATAGAAATTTATTTTTTCCTTTTTTTTCTAGTCTTTTCGAGGTATTTGGTGGTGGGTATAAAGGATTAACTCGGATATAAATTTCTTACGTGTTAACAGCGGGTTTATTTGTAATGCTCAGCTTTCTTAGTATGCGAAATTTTTTCGAATAATGACTAATTTATGGCCGGTTTTAAAGATAATTTTTGATATAGAATGCCTTTATTGTTCTTATATTTTTATATACATTAAAAGTTGCATAAAAGCTTTAGTATGCCATATTCGTTACACTGAAAAAAATGTTTCTACCGAGGATTGTTTGCCGATGAATTTGTGTTACATGTATGCTCTTCGTAGTCCATAACTTCTTCATATATTAACTCTTTCCATTGCTCAACAGTGTGATTTCTTTCATCAACACTATGATCATACGGTTCTGGTGCCGGCTGAAAATATGAAAATTTGATTATTTTTCATCATACAGATTTTAAAAAACTAATCAGACAGGATCTGTAACAAAAACGCAATGTTATACAATTGACTCCTCATTTTCTCTATCAATTCCAAAGCAATTTACGTAGATTCGTTTGGACGACAATGCAACTTTATATTATTTTTATATCCTACACGACTTATAATGCGGGGCATAATAAATTTTTGCTAATGCATGTAACAGCCGGAAGAACTCAACATTAACACATTTTTCTTATATGGATAAATTCAGAATCATTGAGAATCGACCTAAGCTTTGTCTGCCTGTCTGCCCATGTTTATAAGTATTCCCTACGTTTTAAAACCATTAATAAAATAAGAAATAATAAACATAAAAAGGAAAAAATTTAATTGAAAGAAAGTTGATATTGTTGCAAGTCATGAGGATAGCTGTATTAGCCCCGAAAAATAATTCCTCAAGAGATTGTTGATACTTTTTTAAGCTGATGAATTGTCCGCTTCATATTTTGTTTGTTTTTAATTTCTATGCTTATTGCTATGAATAGAAGTGAAAAGACATGAACCTCTGGTTGAGAACCCGCCACTACTATAACCCCATTTACGTGTGACAATGTTAAGGACTAAATTTCCATGCATATTCATAACAGTATTCTTGTGTTCAATCTCTAGCTCGATATTTTGAAGATATATTTTGATGAAATTTGGGATACTGACTTGCTTTGATCCAAAGATGAATCCTATCGAATCGGACAACTTTTTCGGCCACTGGGCACATAACGCCTATTTGAGAAAGTTAATGATATGGAAAAGCTTACAATTTTCAGAATATTGCGACAAAAATAGTGTGGTAGCATTGCGGTATTCGAAATTCAATGGATCGAATGGGGCAATTTATAAGCCTCGTACATCTTTAGGACAAGTGAACATTTATATGGAATTCAAGCGTAAATTCAACACGTAGAAAATTGGTCCAATTGATCTCGTTTACTTGTTGACTTGCCACAGTCGTAAAAGTAAGTTTGACGCAGACATTCCTTGATCGATCAAGAATTCAATACTGAAAACTGGTTACCATCCATTCCCTCCATCGTATCTCCGTCTATAACTTTTGATTCTGTGAAGAAATTCCGAGAAACCTGCAGCCTAAATGTTTAATTTTTTCAACAACTATTGTTACCAACATTATTAGTGCTAATGTATACCAATCATTAAAGGAAGAAAGAGTACCAAACGTTAAAACGTTTGCAGATCCAGACGCAAGTTCTGCATCAAATTTTGCACACATGCGTCTGGATAATGTCTGTGGTAAACGTTTGCTTGATCGCCAAGGTATGGGATGCAAATTTGACAAAAGCTTTCCAAGTTCTACCATGCAGTGTCACAATATATCGAAAATTTGTTTTTTTTCAAAACCATTTAATGCCGAACGACTAAAGAAATCATATTCGGCCGTGAAGGAATTTCTTATTTTTACATCTTTTATATTAAAAAAAAAAACCTAAAAAAAAAACAAAAGACTAAATTTCCTTACTCTACAATATTGCGTGGGAGTAGCTGACTTTTTTATTTTCGTAAGATACCCGTGGACATTTTCATGGCGTGTCTATTGTAAGTTATGAGTAATAAGCTAAAAAGCAGTGACCGATTTAGACCATTTTCAATACGAACCTGGGCGCGAGGACTTCCAATACTTTTGTAAATTTGAAGGCGATTACTTCAGCTTTGCGACACGGTCGTTCAACAGACGGACATACTTAAGCCCATTCGGAATTGGATGCTGATCATGTACATATTATGCTGGTATATGTACATATTAAATATAATATTACTTGGCCTCTGAGGATTCCTCCTACGTTTTGCAAAATGAATACATTGATAACAGTTGCGCTGAGTTCAGATTTTTCGCTTGTACTTAGTATGCCGATTTGAAAAGAGTCGCACCGATTTTTACTAATAAAAGTATAAAATATGTATTTTCCATGACGGTCAGAACAAAGTGAGGAAAAGATATAAAGGTAATGACCGCAGCCAAACAGCCGTATGCCCAATCGATAAGTGTTATGCATTTACCGATTGAGCACTCACTACAGCTACGACCAAAGTAAAAATCTATCGCACTTGAGATTTGAACACGTGGGCACTGACCTGGTAGTCACGATTCTTACTTAATCGGCTATTCATGCGAACTAAAAGTACATTTTTAAAACATAAAGCTTCATAAGGGATGTAGTCTTAAAAAAGGTGCGATCCGAACCAGTTTCAGTAGGTATTTGTTGACGTGCTCGGCCAAAAATGTCGAATGTTTTTTAGTCAGGATGTTATGAGAGCTTCATGGTAAGAATATATACAATGATGCCAATCTCGTTTAGATTAAATATTTACACCCATGTACTTACAGCGTTGACCTCCTCATTGTCATACCAGACGTGTATGTAGCTATGTAAAAGAGCCTGCTCAACCGATATACGTTGTTCTGGATCGATAACTAACATTTTACTTAAAAGATCTCTGGCTTCTGCTGCTTTTCTTCGGCTTTGCTCGTTATTATCGCTTGGAAATAAAACATCAGGAAATAACCTGTCAAATGAATATCCGGAATAACGAGGTCTATTCTCCACATAATTTCTGACAGTTGGTTGTAATCGCTGCATAAACGATGCTGATGGAGTTCCAAGTTGTTCTATAAAAGAAACAAAAAATGGGAATAAACAAATTTTTGTGATAATTCGCCGCAGTAGTGTTTACCTATTATTTTATTCCACTGATCAATATGATCAGTTCCGGGAAACAATACACCACCACGTATCATCTCTCCCATTATGCACCCTACGGACCATATGTCAACATTTTCTTTATAACCCATTCCTAAAATTACTTCTGGAGCACGATAATACCGGGTTACAACGTAAGGCGTCATCATAAAAGTGGTACCAGCTGTCCGAGCTAGTCCAAAGTCGAGTATTTTTAATGTACAATCGGCTTTTACAACAATATTCGACGGCTTTAAATCCTTTAAAAGGAGAGGATTATATTACTCAAATATCCCAAACTTAAGAACCAAACCATGAAATTGATCTGCTTTTAGGAACATTATTGATGGAATGATTAGAGGAATAAAATAAGTACTTGAAATTTCAAGATCAATATGGAATGCTAATAAAGCTTAAAAAGCCTAGAAATTTCTCAAATTTTAGTAATCTTTCGTGAAAAATCTGGCACCGGTAGGTTAAGTTTAGTTATTTAAAACTCTCCCGCTTAAAAAATACTGATCAACTCGGTAATAGAAATCAATTACAAAACGCCAAATCTTTTCAGAGAGAATTTTATTTTTGTATTAGTTTTTATATTCTGCACCACTAGCGGTGCAAATGCTCAAAACCAAAAGGTACATTAAATTTGTGTTCAAGTACACGACACTCAAAACGACTTGAGATAGACCCATTTTTTATTATGCAGACAGATTTAGAATCACTTGTTGAACCAATCTAACTTTTTCTGATAGCTTTCCATGTATTTTTGTCTTCAACCTACAGATCGCATTTTTTTAAATGTTTTGATAAAATTTAGTACGCTGACGTGGTCTGGCCCGGACGCATCGAAAAGACCATTTCCATGTACTGTACTATTTTGAAAATTATATGAATAGCTGTATTAAACGCGATGGTGAAGGGTATTTCATAGAGAACGGAAGCCCACTACAATTTGTTTACTTGCGTTTATATGATGACATTGCGTGATATTTTGCCTAATTTCTGCATTCTGTTCATAAAATGCTCTATTTTAACGTTTTGCGTTTTTAGTAGGTAAAATAGGATACAAACAGAATAATTAAAGAATAGGGCCTTCAAAATAGTTGACTCAACAAAAAGGAAGCTGTAACTCCTATCACAAACTGCAATAAAGTTGTGATGGCAGTAACACGTATCTATCGATCAAAGTAAATTGTTTTCGCACCCCAATAATTTTACTCAAATGAACTTGCGATAATATAACTGCAACGAATCTACCCAGGAACAATTATTGTAACATTGCTGATACTTACTTCTTATGAAACTACTTTATAATGAGTAAAAATAACATGAGAAAAAAACTATACTCTTTTCGATTAGTAATTGGCGACACATTTGCACCACTATTTGCAATGATTGCCTTTGTTTTAGGCCATAAACGTGCACCCACAACAGCCACCGAAAAATAAAGTTTCTGGAGAAAAAATTGCACTATCAAAAACAAAACGAAATATGTAAGGACTTTCAATCCAAACTTTACGTAAAAGAAATTTTCTCGCGTTTATAGTTATAACAAAATTAGTTTCTTTTTCTAACATAACATAACAACAAACCTTTTTTACACATGATAATAACTAGGAAAAGTTATGATTTGTGTCCTAGTAAACATCCATTGTTTTTGTTTTTTACTTCGAAAATTCTACCTTCATGAAGATATTTTAGCAAGGAACGATAAAAATTTAGTTTTATATTTTTTACATACCCTGTGAGCAATACCAGCAGAGTGAAGGTGTTTAATGCCACATAACATTTGATAAAGCAAATACGACATTCTATCATGATCGAGATCCATTTGTATAACTTGACATAGATTGGCATCCATAAGTTCCATTACTAGATAAACATCTTGAAATTCTTCGAGGTTGCGTTGCGGAGTAAATGCATTAAGTAACCCAATAATCTACAATCAAAGTCCTTAGTATAACATAAAAATTTATAAAAGAAATATAACATTAGTAACTACATGAACTTACATTTTTATGATTTACTAGCTTCATTAACTTAAATTCTCTATAGGCTCTCTTAGCGTGCGTGACATTCTGGAATGGTCGAGATAACTTTTTAATTGCTACATTCTGTTCAGTAACTGTATCATATGCAGCGCTGAAAAAGAAAAACAAATTTATTAATTGATGCAATGATATTCACGTGCAACAACTGTATGGTTGAACATTGAAGGCGGCAGATTTGACAATAAATAATGAAAACTGCTTAATCAAAAACCAAATTTAAAAGAAATATTACATACATACATTCTTCAAAACAATTCCGTCCCTAACTATTGATTTTGCACTATTTTTCATCATCATTCCTAGCAAGATTTTTTTAAAGCCGATAATTGAATGATCATTGCGAAAAATCAAAAACAACTTCCTTTAGAATAACAACTTCAAGTAAAAGCTTATTACTATTATTAAATCGCATGGGACTATTGGCACCATAACTTTCATGTTGCAGCACAGTAGTTAGATACAAGTTCTCAGTGCATCTTATTTTGTTGAAAATGTGTAACATATCTTTTTTGGAGTTTTGAATAAATCGAATTCTCAAGCAAGAAATCGCCAAATAAGTGGAGGGAATACTTTTCGGCTTATTCAAGGAATGAGGGCTATAGAATTGTGACAGGTGCGAAAAACTGTGAGATGCAGGCTAAGCGAAACTTAACGTCAACGTTAACCTCAAATACCCATGACTCCACTACTTAGGGGCATCAGCAATGTACACTGGATTATAACTTACCAACAGCCAAAGCAACTTATAACAACAACAATTATTCAAACTGAAAGGAGCATTACAAGAAAAGCGGTTGAAACGTCAAACAAGTATGAAAAATGTAGTTGGACGTGACCCAACGTTTTACATGGATCACCGTTATCCCGAAAAGGACTAAAAAAAGAAAAAGTTGAATTTTCATACTTTTTGATATCGGGTGGACGCGATAATTTTTTGCATTTTCAGAATAAAAGTGAAAGTTTATAAGATGCATGCCATGTACTTTACAAGTAAGAAGCAACAAAAGCGGAAAGCGAAGATATTCACAGTTCTTGTTGTATAGGAGTGGGGACATTGTAGACATATTCTTTGTCGGTTTGAGTCATTTTCAAATTTTTTTGCAAATTTTCAGGCGATGTCTTTATTTTTGCGAACGGAAGAATGTTTACAGCCGATACTACACGTTTGGACAGATAGCCAGATAGACGGACGAACATTTTTATGTATATTTAGAATGTGAAACTAGAATTTATGTACTTTATGAGATTTTTCAAGCTTGCTTCTGCGCGTTACAAAAATGCCAAAAAAAAGTTATTTTGATTCATTATAATATTGGGTATGCGTGGTCAATTTTTCGTCCTTTTGTACATGTACTAGAGCATCGTCTAGGTGTAGATTTATCTGCTACAGTTTGTGACCAATGAGCAAAAACTAATTTTTTATTCGTTTTGTAAACAGGTATTCTGAATTTACGTGGTACTGTAGACGTGTCTTTCGACCGATTTGATCCATTTGCAATACCAACCTGCGCGCAGGAACTTCCCGTGCTTCTGCCAAATTTGAAGTCGATAGCTTCAACTTTGTAGCCAGGAGACCGTTTACAATAAACATTAGATTGAGTTACATTAAGTCGATTCAGAATTTGATGCTGATAAAGAATTTATATACTTTGTCTTTGAGCCTCATTCTGAGCTTCGACAAAATGAATACACCTTCGTCCTTTAGCGGTGAATATGGATGGGCAACCTACGACAGATGAAACTATAAAAATTTCCGTCTATTGTTTGTAGACGGTTCCATATTAACCACACAAAAAAGGGGAAAATTAACCATGCCTGTCTAATGTTATAGTTTACTGATATTTAATTTTTTTCAATACCTTCAAGCCATATAGAAACAAGCGTCAAAAACTCCGCAAAGTATAGAAATTGCTAAGTACTTTCAAATTCGAAATGCAACTAAGCCCGTCTGTTCGTTTGCCCAAATATGTATATCACGACAGTGCACAGTCGCAAAAATAAATATATCGCCTACAAATTTGCAAAAGAATTTGAAAACGACCTATACTTCTCACACGATTATGCGACAAAAATTGTGAACACCTTTGCTTTCCGAATTTTTTGCTTGTCACTCATAAAGTATAACACATACACTATATAAATTTTCACGTTTATTCTAAAAGCCACCCAATATTATACAGTATGAAAATTAAATTTCTGTCCTCTTTTTTAGATTCGCGTTGGTAGGTATAAAAGATTCGGTCACCTCCGAATATAATTTTCTTATTTATTCAGAACAAGACCTTTTGCAATCCCCTAAAAACTGTTGGCAGCAGTGAACTGAAATATGCTATGCCCTGGATTGACCAGATATTACTACCACTGACCAGATGATAAGCGAGATATGGAAATGATAGCCGTTAAGTTGTTCTATTATTATTATTATTTTAATTTTAGACTAATGAATTGAATTCTTAAACTAAAAAAAAAACATTGAGCACTAGCAAGTTAAGTTGTTCTAAAACCAGAACTTTTAATTCTGTTTAATTATTGAGTAAGGTTTAGTTTTCAATGAAAGCATGATGTAAATTTCATAAATTAGAAAACATTATATTTTCCTTTTTCGAAACGATTGCGTTTGGATATAGATTATCTTCGAAATACGATTAATAACGAAATAAAAGAAGACTTATGCAGATCCGGTCCTTCTAGCCATGAAAATCGGCTTTCAAATGTAAGTGAAACTATTTGTACTATTTACATATTCGAAAAACTTAGCTTAAAAGCTAATTTTGAAGAAACTGCACCATTAACAATCATCCTTACGATTCTAAATTTATGTATATTACATCTTAGATGACGAAGGAGAAACTAACTATGATTCTTTAACCGTCTGCAGAGAGAATGAACACTTATTGCTGTATTAAAACAGAATTTTCTTGGTTACTTACCAAACTATTCCTTGGGCGCCTGAACCAATAGGGCGTAAATTTTGATACCGACTTAGAATTGTGAAATTAGTATCACCTACTTCAACCGTGTACAGACTATGTCTCGAACTCATTGTTGCGGTTTAATTATATGTAGAAATTTTTGTTGTCATTGTTTGCCTGGAAGATTGAAATAATAATAAAATTATAAATTTAGATATTTGTGTATAAGAAAAGCACAGTTTCATACATAATTAGTAACAATTAGAAACAAGTATCAAATGGAATTCGGATTTTACACCTGCAAGCTTTACTTCCCAAAAAAAAAGGTAAAAATAAATTAATAAAATAACTCTTTGTTACTTTACTGTATCGGCTGCCTTCTTCTTTTGTACAATTACTGTGGGATCATTTATAAATTATGCATGAAAATTTTATTATTGCGTCTGCTGCGACGCCCAGAAAGTCAACTACTGTGGTTGTGTCCTTTTACCATTTTCAATATTAGTCTACGCGCAAAAACTACCAATATTTTAGCTAAATTTAAAGATGTTGTCTTAATTTTAGTGGCCAGGAGAATATCTACCAATACGTTCATACTGACGAGCAGGCACGCATAGTTCGAGTGAAGTTTCCATATTGATCAAGAATATCTTTGGTTTTTTTAGACATTGTAGCCTCTTTCTAATCGACGCTTCAAGCGTCTTAATAAACTGAATACGACTTTAATCTTCGTTACAACATATAAAAACGTACACAATAAGATTGTCTTAATAACTTTTAAATTGACCATTTCATTTTAGAAAACTATGGTACAAATCTTTCCATCTGCAATGTTAAGCAGGACAAATACAGCAAATTAAGCTTCTTAACTTTTAAAGGAATTACACAACTTAAAACAGTCGTACTAATTTGACAAATGACACCTTATAATTTAAGGGCGAATCTACTTTTTAAAAATTAATCCTGGAATCACCATAATGTCCGAAAGTCAATACTCCCATAAATTATGCTGCACTTTTTTAATGTCTGAAATCGAATCGAAAGTAAACCCTAACGCACCAAATAATTTCGAGAAGTGTTCACATAGTTTCGCGAACCGACTCTCCTTTTCATGTTTATCAAAAATCAGACTAAACACACAAAAATTTATGAATGCTTTAAGCAAGTTTCAAAAATATGAGTGCCCTAAGTCTGTTGTTTGAGAATTATTATTCAACTCTAGCTATTAAATTTATAAATCGTTCTTTTGACATACAAAAAGCATTTCTTGCAAATTGCTTAGTTGCCATTCATATAAGCTCCAAAAATTTTGGATAATTGAACGCGTCTATATAAGCACAGTTTAAATTTATGCACTTACATCGGTTACGTTCATAATTCCTACAATTTATCCACTTGTGCTGTGGATAAAATTATATTTAAATCTATTGTTTTCTAGAATTCCGGCAATATTTAGGTAGACAAATTTATTTATTAGTGAATATGTGTATTTACACAAAATTTTTTTCGCAAAGAAAAATCCCACTTTGTTTTGGATGAATGTTTATACAAACAGAAACTATATCAAAAATCAATACACTTAGGTAACGCGTTATCCTAAAGAAAAAATTAAATGTATGATCAAAAAAAATAATGCCGACTGTATTGTCGTACAGGAAAAAACACACATACGTGCATATATATAAACCATATTGAACACTGGCGCATTGAAGCGCATTGACTCTTACATAAAAATTAACTTCAGAAATTTCACACATGATATTTTTTGTGTTGTATATTCTTGAGTGTCAAATCGAAATGCTTATTCATATATATGCTGCAATATAATTTTTGGTTTACGATTGTGTTGCCTAAAATATTATCACATACATACATTCATATATGCACCTTACAAAAAATCGATAGAGAAATAAAACATACGACGTCAGAAGTCGATTAAGCAAGAATATGTTTTATTATTAAAACATGCTTTCACAAATAAATGGCAGCACCGAAAATTTTAAATAAAAACGTCATGATTAAATTTTTAGTACTTTTCTCGAATTTTATATTTTATATTATTCATAAAAATTTTATTTTCTTAATGTGTCTCTATTACTTTTCTCGGATTTTATACTATTCATATACTAAAAATCGTTTTATTTTGTCTCTATTGTTGGAAAACGCGATTACCCCGTAGCCATATTAGTTAAAAAATAGAAAGAAATGAAAATACACGCAAGGTGGCAATGTAAAACAATACCAAGGTATATAACGAAATCTTGCCTTTTTTCATAAAACAAATGTTCTCCGGGTTCCCATCATTGGAAACTAATTTCAACATTTTCCTAGCACATGGTATATTAAGTTTGTGCGGACTTATGTAATACTCAGAAGCGCTTAATATAGACACACCTATTATTACACCGATCAATTCAGGATCATTCTCTAAATCGATCGACGTGTTCCGTATTCTATTTGGACCGGTTGCGGCAATTTCTGAACCACCTCTCATATAACGTGAACTAAAGTTCATACGACAAAAAGGTCCAATTTTCAGTGCTTCATAATGAAGATTAGATCATAATAGTAATTCAGGATGAAAAATTAACAGATTTTTTGGACCATCTCAGTCTACTTTTTCGATTCTGCCTACGTAAGGATAAACTTGTACTAGGTTGCTTGAAAAATACGCGTTTATATAGAAACAGGATATAATTTGTGTGCTCTATAATAAAAATAAGAACTGTTGTGTGACTATAATGTTCTTACTTTTTTTCACCATAAAATATTAAATATTAAGCCTTTCACTGAATCGATTACTACTCATGAGATATCTTATATGGAGTCGGGCCAAGTAATAGACCCATGTGGTTCAAATTATGTGCTGCCGATTTAGATAATACTTAAGGTTAAAGGCTCAACCCAGTTATGGTTAAAGCTATAAAATTAATTTATGCGCTTAGCAACAAGCAAAAAGAAAATCATATACTCATCTAGCCATTACACGTCTTCAGCTAACATACATCAACTACAATTGCACTACGTGAACAATTAACTAATTACAGCGGACATGCCAAAGCTTAGCAAAAACACAATATATTGTCTGGTCCAAGCGTCACAACACAACAATGACTATCGGCTTTTTAGGATTACATAGGCACAACAGCTGTTAAATACACTCTCATCTTTGTCAAATCATAACCGTCAATTAATTATCACGTAACTATTGATTGTTCAACGAATCGAAAAGAAAAAATTAAGAAGGTTAAATTTGTGAAAGGTAAATAAAGTATTATTAAAAGTTAATAAATAATCGTTTTGTTTTAATCAGTATATACATATTAGGCAGAGTGCTTCGAAACATCATATTATAGCGGTGCTTTAAGGACGGCATGCATACCGCGGTGGTCCGTTCTGTTTGAAGATGAATTAAGTAATATAAAAAAACTTTCTACTCAATTTCATTAATAAGGTATTCCATAATTGAAATAAATATATGCGTACATATAATGCGTAAATAATATACAAATAAAAATAAAAAAAAATGAAATTAAAAAAATAGAGTGGAAACATGAAAGATTTAATAAAGTTATCACCCTCGAAATCACTTGAGATCTGGCGGAAGAGAAAATCGAGCTTTTTCCTTTTGAGCTTTATTACCTTGACGTTGAACGACCGATTCTCGATTTTCTCCCTTAATGATTGGTTTTGCTCGCTTAATAATTCTCGGATGGTTTTTTAAAAGCTTTCTCCATCGATTCATTATCGATTTGCTTCGACAGCAAATCGCGTGTGTCAAATGACGCGTTGTCTCCTTCGCCTTCACTGTGCCCGCTCCGCTTCTTAGCTGGTGTTAGCATAACGTCCTCAGACATTACGTCTATTATATTATTACACAGAAGCTTCTAAACACAAAGCAATTAAAAACAAGCAGAAAATTGCACACTAAAAGTTTACTTAATCTATTGACGCAGAGCAAAGCCACCAGTGTACCACCATGCACTAAATATCTCAAAAGTTTCACATTTCATCTTAATGAATTTAAATGCATTCATCTTATAGAATTAGCTACACGAGTAAAAATAAAGCCTACATTTAGCTGAAATAGATCGAAATGAAAAACAAATGACAATACATACAAGGTGGCAATGTAAAATAATACCACTACATGATAGAATCGAATCTACATTATGAAACATTGGTAAACATGTCAAAATTAAGCAGAGTTAAACATCAAAACATTATTAAAGCTTATTAAACATCATTAAGCATTATTAAACACTATGAACTATGTCAAAAGTAAGCAGAGTTAAATATGAAAACTTCAACTGTACATATTTTTGGGGCTTCTTCATTTTATAAAACTAAAATGTCAGTTTTGCTTTTTACTTCCTGTGAAATTTCTGTTATTACGAAAAACATTTTTTGTATTAAATCAATAAGAAAATTTAAACTGAAAAAATTTATGTATTGGAAATAAAATATGAGCAAACAGCTTGACGATCCTGCCTGTGAACAAATCAGTGGAAAACAGCAAATATGTGTGTATTCATCTTCGAAAATAATTGAGTGAAACATATTTAAATATTGCTGAACGGAAATCAAATTCAAAAACCAGCAGAAGAATAGTTAGATTTATTTCTATATAGTAAACAAGATTTGAAAATAACATAATCAATGATACACATCGTCAATTATTACAAACAGTAACGTGTAAAGGAAGAGGTCGCCTTGTATCCAGTGGAAAATAAAGAAAGAACAGCATTCACCCACACAAACAAATACAACAAATTTAGACTGTCTTAAGAGGGACACATTCCATCAGCGAGAGTAAGACTGAGGACAGGAGGCAGAAAGCCGTCTGAATTTTACAGGATACTCCAACTTCTCTCCGCTTCAAATCTTTCAGCTGACGTATTAAAAAAACTCTGGTTTACAAGGTTGCCAAAAAATTTAAATGCTATGTTGGCCAGTTCAGATCATTTGCTTACTGAGGGGTTAACAAAGATTGCCGACAATATTTGGGAAGTAAACCAAGAGAATGAAATTGCGTCACTTTCACACAACAGCAACATTCTGCAAACATTCCAAAACTTTACAACAATCACAACACTATGCAAGAATTTGCACAAGTTACGTTTGCAGCGTAATGTTTGCTATAAAGAAACGGAATATCTATAGGGAATATCTTAATCATAGATAATCCCGCGCTCCTTGTAAAAACATGTCGATTTAGGTCGTCCTCGCGACATCTGCTAAGAACAATCCGGACTTGCTTTGCAAGTACCATTACCGTTTCGGAATTGTGATCGTTTAGAGATTGTGAAAAACGTTTCAATCCCGTTGTGTCGACGACGCGCAAGAGGATTCACCTCTGTTAACGTCATCTCTTCATCCGCGATAAAAATTGGCATATAACATTTTTTTTTAATAGCGGTGCGGAAGTTTCCGTACTTCCGGCGAATAGGTTTGATTACAACGTGGCGTCTGATATTATTTTAGCTGCAGATCATAAAACAAATATTAAACATAACGGGAAAAGTGATATAATATCTACGTAGAAATGTACTTTTTATATTTATTATAGTTGATATTCCCAAAGCTAGCATTGGAGCTGATTTTTTAGGGAAATTTGGTCTACTAATTGATGTTAAACCAAAACAATAAGTTGATCCATTAAAAAGTTTGTCAATAAATGGACTCACTGTTCAATGCAACATTCCATCTTCCAAACTTTTCGGAGTAGAAAATCTATGTGCTAGATTACTCAAAGAATTTACGAGTTTAACGCAAGAACCTGACTCTTCCAGTCCAACCGACCACACCATTGTCTACAGATTGATAAGTAGAACCCTACGTCCATTTTCCAAGCCCAGACGTCTTGATCCTATTGAAAATAATTTAGCCAAGGCCGAATTCGAGTTTTTAGTCCAATCCGGTACTTGCAGACTGCCTCATTCATCAACAGTCTCGCCTTTACATCTGGTAGCCAAGAAGAGCCCTAATGATTAGCACCCTCGTTGTGATTACAGACGTCTAAATGTAATAACAGTTCCAGATAAGTGTCCACTTCCAGATTCCGATGGTAGGAGGAGATATATTTAAAACGACAATCATTACCCCATATGGAATGTAAGAATTCGTACGTAAGTCTTTTGGACCTAGAAATTCTTCGCAAACATTTCAAAGGTTAGTAAATGAAGTATTTGATGGATTACATTTCGTAGTTTAGTAGTGACGGAGACGAACATCTAAAACACCTCAGAATCGTGCTCGCAAGGTTAGAAAAGCCTACTAAATGCATTTTTGGCATAAGTGACAAAGACTTGCTTGGACACAACATATCTGCAACAGGTCTACATTCGTCTGAAGAGTAAATCACAGCTATTCGTATGTTCGAAAAACCATATATGTATGATAAAATATGAGGAAATAGCGACAGTTGGTGACTTAAAGTATTTATAAACGTCAGCTTTGCTTCTTCTTTATTGTCATAGATTTTTCTCTAGATTTTTTAAAAATAAACGTGAACGAATGATTTTTAATAATTAAAAATGAACGGATATTGAGTCAACCTTACTGTAGGTGGCAATAGGCTATTACCTAGGCGCAGAGTGTCGCAGGATCTCAAAAAATTCGAAAGAGTCTGTATAACACGTTGGAAAATATTAGAGATCGATTTGGCAAAGAACTAAGACGGGTGCAGGAAAATCCCACCAATTGGGATTTGTTTTCTTATTTGCTTTTTCTAAATGACCGTTATAAACAAGGATATTAAACATTATCATGGCATCTTTCAAAAATATACATGATAATAATTTCACAAGATCTGGAATGTACATCGTTTACACTATCTGGAAGACAACGGCCTAAACGGTAACCTTGCAGACAATTCCGGCAAAAAACGTACTAAAATTTTTCAATATTTGCTTAAAAATGAAAGAATATATCTTACTCCACGTCCGTTTTGACAGGTAACCTTCCTGCAATCAGGGTCCACCAACAAACTCATCCCACATTCCGGCTGTGCACACAAAACGCCACCGGCCTACAGCACATATTCTTCTGTAGCAAATGTTGGTATCCATCGTATTCTTCACGCATCAATAACTTGAAATGAGTTCTCATAACCAGCGGGACGACAGAGTTTAAGTAACGTCTGGATGCGGCATAAATTGTCGTTCTAATAACAGTGAGCGACAACAGTGCAAAAAACAATCAAGGCATGTAACATTTTTTGAAACAGCAAAAACTTCAGAATTTTTTTTTTTTCATTAAAGTAGGATTTCTGTTCCATGTTTACCTTATATCAGTACAGGCTAAGCAGGGAACTCCTTTAATATTCATTTTGACTAAATTTAATAGAGCTGCAAAGTCTTTTTCTCCGCCAGAAAAACGTTCGGCGCACTTAAAACAGAATTCTGCACACGGCGGATCGCCGTCATTAAAAATTGAAATAATATTCCTCAAATAGCAAAACATGAGTACCATTAGTACTATAATATTACTTGGCACGAATTTGCACACCACCCTTGAGGTACCGTGATAGGCGCGATGCCAATTGTTTTGAACGGCTGGCTCCCCTTTAGGCGTATACCATTAAAAATTTAAGTTCACTGTTAGTGTGCTGATATCTGTAAAAGAAAAGGTTGTAATTTCGTATATAAAGATAACCACAAGCTTACCATTGACCAATAGAAGCATCGCATGCGTATGCTTGTGTGATAGTCAGACAATCTTGCGCAATGAGGCGGTAATGGGCGGCATTTGATTGGGAGCGGCAGTCAACGGGGAATACATGTCTCTTTATACAACACTGAATAGAAATAAGGGTAAAATAGAGATAAACACAAATAGGATAAACACAAATAGAGATAAACACAAATGTGATAAACACAAACTTACAATTCGAGGAGAGCGAACCATTTTCATGATGCTGAGGCGGTGACCGGTGATTTTAATTTAAAATAGAATAATAATAAGCAATTTATAAATTTATCTACATAATATATATAATATACCTTAGGATGGGGAAGCAATCGTCTTCGATGAAATATACAACTTGCTGCTGATTGTTTTTTAATCTAAAAATGGAATAAAATTATATGAATACATGTTAGATATTGAAATATATCTTAATACATTTATCTTGCAATGGCGCTACGTTGATGTCCTGACGCTCCCTGAAGTTTCTTCCTGTCAGTAGCATAAAGAGTAAGTATTCGAATACATTTATTCGGTGGATACAGCCATTACTGCAGGAACCTGACGCCCTGAAGAAAGCAAGCCGTGCCATCAGCACGGAAGGACCTCTGTATGCATTGTTTCAGCCAAGTGTTTTCTTTTTAATTATACCTTGTAGTCTTGCCTTTTGTGTAGTTTGTACGAAATTTTTGGGGGAATTTATCGTTTTATTTTCTTTGGAACCATTTCGTGAATATCACTTGACCATTTTTTCAGCAACTACGCACAGATGAATGGCGTTTTTGATTTAACATCGTGCTCCGTGCATAACAACTGATAAAATTTTTTGCTTAATATGGGGTCGTTTGGCTATCCACGAAAAGATTTGCTTCGC